AGGGCCTAAAAGAGCTCAAGCATAGTGGCACACACCTTTAATCCCAGCACTCTGGGGGTAGAGACAGATGGACCTCTGAGTCTGAGGTCAGCCTGATCTACAGAGAGAGTTCCAGGACAGCCAGGGCTATACAGAGAAACCCTGTCTCAGAAAAAACAAAAACAAGCAAAAAAGCAAAGCTGACATACGAGGACTGTGTCTTGAAAGACAAATTACAACTGGCGTAAAGGAAGCAGGAAGAAAACCCAGGCCTTGTTGTTGAGACAGACACTGAGCAGTGACAAAGGAAGCAAAGTGTACTGGGGTTGCATTGTTTCCATCTCAGAACAGGTGATTATCAGCCTAGGAAGAGCCGCACAGGACAGAAGCCATGTGTTCACTTCTTAGGCCACATGTATTGTGCTCCCAGAACACGAGAAGAATTGGCAGATGAGTGTCATGGTCGTCTGGTGAGTGGAGGAGATGGTGCCCGTAGACTGGACGAATCTGACAGTTCAGGGTGCCAAGATCGTCCTGCACTTTCTGGGGCAGTCAGTCAGCTTGCTATCACTCTCGGGAAAAGTCTGGACTGGATTATTCCACGAGGAGCTTGAATGCTGTCAGGGAAACAATCCCAAGAGATGAAGTCAGGCACGGTGCTCCCCTCTGGTATGACGAGAGATATGCTGTGGCCTTGCCTAGGTAGCACTTAGCCAGACATCTTAAATATGCTCTGAAATCATTAGAGGCAAGACAGAAAGGTCCAGAGAGCATACAGGAGGGTGATGGGAAAGGTGGATTTATTTTTAATCTGTTAGATGAATATATCCAAAAAGCAGTGTTGCCAGTCTATCTGCTCAGCCCGGGTCTGTTGTCAATTTAATCAATGACTGGATTGAGAATGTCAATAGCAAGTCAATCGATTGGTTATGTCAGTGATGGGAAGCCAGGAAGGAATGCCGAGATGATGGATGCCAGAGTCAAGTTAGAAACTCTAGCCAGATAATGTAGAGTTCTGCTCTTAGCTTCAAATAATCCACAGTGCACACTGGACAGGAGAGGAGCGGGCAGCCTATGGGAGAACCCTGAGAAAGATGTTGACAGTGGGAGTGCTGTATGAGTTGGTAGTATGATGAGGTTACAAAGAAAGACAATTTGATGACAGTTTTAATAGAAATAAACTGCCCCAGACAAGATCACAGAGCCTCTGAGATCTGCACTGGTTAGACCACATGCTGTACTTATTTCCACACATGCCACTTCACTTCCGGACATGACACTCTCGTTTTGACGAGCTCAAATGAATCCAAGGGAGGGTGGCTTGAACGGATGGAGGATGTCAGAACCTTGTCAAGAATGTAGTTGAAAGTTAGGGCCATGTAGCCAAGAAAAAGAGGCTGTTGATAGATTCAAGAGCAGCCTCTGGGGTGCAAAAGGCTGCAGGAAAGGATGGATTAAAGGACTGGGCTTCTTCAAGGCTGGTGGTTTGAGAATTGCAAAGGCAGATTGCAAGATGGCCTGGCCACCATCTCCCTCAGTGGAGCCAAAAGCCTTGAGGGATTTCTTTAATCCAGCCTTCCCAGAGCCCAATGGTTGACCAGGACTTGAAGCATTTACTCCTGGTCTCCCTTTCAAGCCAGTCTCAGACATCCCCTCAGCAGAGAAACTGATCTAGCCAGGGGCAGTTGTATTCTGGGCTCAGATAATGGCAAACAAGTTTCTATTAGCCATCACCATTCTTGCAGGAGGAGCTGAGAGACTCCAGCAGTACTCATGCACTGTTAGAAGCCTCCTCAGGCTCATTTAAATGTGATAGTGACCCTACTGGTACTTATTTCCATCTAGGAGGGATCGAAGCTTAGGCAAAACACATGGTGCTGCACACCTGGAACCAGAGGTTGAGTCAAGAGGAGAGCAATATGTGTTCAGGACCAGCCTGGAAGTTCGAGGGTGGGACGCTGTGATACCCCAACAGATACTGCCAGATGCCACAAAGCCTGATGGGCCTGAGTTTAATCCCTGGGCTCCATGTGATAGAAGAGGAGAACCAACCCCTGCAAGTTGTCCTCTGATTTCTGCATACACTGGCATGTCTGTGCGCACACACTAAATAAATGTAATAAAATGAAAAAGAAAACCAGCAGTGGCGGCACTCGCCTTTAATCCCAACACTCGGGAGGCAGAGGCAGGTGGATCTCTGAGTTCGAGGCCAGCCTGGTCTACAGAGTGAGTGCCAGGACAGTCTCCAAACCTATGGAGAAACCCTGTCTCGAAAAACCAAAAAAAAAAGAAAAGAAAAGAAAACCAGCCTGGGCTACATGGCAAGACCTTGTCTCAAAAAAGGAAAGAGAAACGTTGTCATTGCCAAGGTCTCCTAGGATGTGAACCCATGATATTTGACACTCTGCCTCCTAGAGCATGCTTCTGGTCCCCGTGTCCCCTATACCTCCCCAGAAATCCCTCTCCTTCCCAGCCCCCACCCCCTAAAACTCTGCCTTCTCCTCTATGGAGAACTCAGGGAGAAAACCCAACTGAAAAATTAGGCCATGCTGCCGAGCACACTACTTATTTTTTTATGACTAAGATTAAGCTGACAACCATGCAAAACATTGCAAACCTGTGTCGGCTGCAGATTTAATACCTCACCCAGCCCACACAAATAATTCATGCTTCTGCATCGATGTCCAGAAAAAACAAATCAGCAAAAAGCTGGGCTCCTGCGTGTGTGAAGCAGCCGCCTTCCCATTGAAGCAGCTAGCATGCCGGAAATACCCAGGCTCCAGGAATGCAGATCTAGCATTTTGAGATTTTTTTTTTCTTAAAAGATTAAAGTATGTTTTCTCAAATGATTGAAGGTTGGTGGGAGGTGTAAATGTGGGCACTTGTCACATTAATTCTTCAGATGATTAAGTTCTTCGCTGCTGCTTTAAAGCTGTTTGCAGTTGGGTTTGATGTCCCTGTTCTGGGTGAGTGTGTTGTGGCAGTTTCCATCTGGACTTTAGCTGACTTTCAACAATTTATTTTTCCCTCCAGCTTAAGACTCTACCAAGGTGACTTTAGCTGACTTTCAACAATTTATTTTTCCCTCCAGCTTAAGACTCTCTAGCCCTGTGTACTGTCTTCCCTACCAACCCCCACCCCACCCCCCATGGCTATTCATCAGCATTTTTGCCTGGACCACTGAGGCTGGGGTCCTCCAGCAGGTGTGAGCCCCACAGAGCAGCCTGACAGCAGGATAGGAGTCACATCCTGACTCTGCCATTTAATTCACTCAGTGGGGCTCAGGGTGGGGCCCAGTGGCAACGCATTTGCCTAGCGTGTGTGAACCTCTGAGCATCCCCAAAAATAAAAAATAAAGCCCCCCTCGTGACCTTGAGGTTATCTCTGCTCACTTTATTTGTAAGAGGGCTAAGAGTTTCCATGCTTGCTGAGAGGGCCCACTGAGTGAACCTGTGCATGTAACAGAGAGCCTGCCACAGAGGAAGCCCTTGACAAACATGGCTGATGTCATTTCCTGTGCTCTGCTCTTGTTTGGGGTCCAGGAGCACTCCCATATCACCTTTGAACCCGTCAGCAGTGCCTGGATGAGATGTGGGGTTGCCCTTGTTGGAAGGCCAACATAGAAAGTAGTCAGAAGTCCACGGTTCACAAGCTGGCCTGCCACAGACATGCTCTTTGTTTGGCCTTGGATATGTCCCCTTTTTGAAAAGGAAAGAGGTAAACAGGTTGCATGTCTTTCCAATCTTGAAATGCCGTTACCCTCTTGGCTAGTGTTTGTCTCCTTCACAGGTCTTGTGGAAGTTCTTGCCAAGGGGAATGCAGTTCCCAAGGCAGCTTTGGGAAGCTGCAGGAACAGATGCCTTGGCGAAAGAGCAGTCACATCTAGGGGTGGGCCCATTTGGGGAGAGGAGCCAGTGTGCTGAGCCTCTGTCTTGCTGCCAGAGCTGCCCTGCTTTCCCTGGGAGGGGCTCTGCCTGTCAGGTGCTCACCCTCACTCAGTAAGATGAGGCCTGCTCCTGGGTGGCTGTCCAGCTCAGACATCCTGAGTAGCTCCTGCCTGCTGCTTGATTTAAAGACAGGAAAAAAAGAAAAGAATGATCCTCACCTAGAATTTTGATGGACACTTGAAGAATTGTTCTGGGTTTCACAGCCCAAATCAGAATCCCACCTTTTGAATGGAATGAGTGGATGACCCTCTTTTTCTGCTGGGGAAGATTTGGGAGGTCAGTGAGGACAGCTGAATTTGAAAAGCAAAACTTAGAATGACAAGGGACCCAGTAGCACCTAGATACTGGCTGTTGGCGGGGAGCTGAGCTGGAGAGAGCATGAGTGACTGAGACTGCTTAATGTGGCCAACGTCACTATCAGGAAGGATGTACATCAGGGCTTACACACATGCACACAGACACACGCATCCATGCACACACACACACATAGCTATATATGCATCACACAAGTGAAGCTCAGCTAAAAGTGTCACCCAGCCACGTGTGTCTGACTCCCAAACAAGGACTGTGCTACCCTCTGCTTAGAAGATCACTTCCCTCACTGCCTTGCCTGGCCCTGTGCAGGAGTGTGCTTGCTCAGAACCCAAGGTCAGCTCCTTGACCTGTTGTCCCAAGCCAGCCTTGGAGAGCTAAGAGTCTCCAGGGCTTCCAGGCAGGAAAAGAAAGGTTCCGTAGAGTACCTATGAATCTCATGGGGCAAAACAAGCCACTGTGATGTGAACTTCCGTGTGTGTTGGCCAAGGGCGTGGGCTCTAGGACCTAACTGATGGGCCTAACCTGCACATGCCACTTCAGTTCCGGTATGCCTGCCTCATGGTGCGTCAGGAAGCATAAGCAGCCAGTGAGATGTGTTTGACACATGCTGGCCCTTGGCTAGTGCATAGTGAAGGGTGTTGTTACCATAGTTAGCAGACACCATAGTTTCTAACCAGGAACTCAACCTGAGAGTCCCATTTGCTCCTCCTTGTGTTTTCCCCATGCACTTACTCGGCTCCTTGCTTGCTTGCTTTGCAGGAGCCGCAAAGACAGCTTGGAAAGTGACAGCTCCACAGCCATTATCCCCCACGAGCTGATCCGCACTCGGCAACTCGAGAGCGTACATCTGAAATTTAACCAGGAGTCAGGAGCCCTCATTCCTCTCTGTCTCAGGTGAGCTCAAACAGACCATTCCACAGTACCCTGTAGGCTCAGAGCCTCCACAGTCTGCCTTACCCCCAACACACGTCATCTAAAGCTTTGAGCTAGCCATTTTAACCAGGAGGGTATCTGGGGGCAGTTGATACTTAATCAGAGTCCAGGGTTGGGAATGAAAGAGAGCCACTCAGGCAGCTCTGTCCTGCGCCTGTGTGGGAAATGGGGGACTTTGGGACTCTGTGTCACTGGCCTCTGCAGTATGCTCCGCCATCCAAGACTTATTTGTTTTTCTTATTTCTAATTATGTATATAATTATTTATATTATGTATATAATTATTTCTAATTATGTATATAATTGGGACTCTGTGTCACTGGCCTCTGCAGTATGCTCCGCCATCCAAGACTCTGAGCAGCATGGGTGCTTAAGAAGTCTTCCAGCAGAGCAGCAAGGCCAGTGGCCCTACAGTTTGTCCCTAGAGGACTGTTCTGCATCTCTTAACCTAGAGCAGTGACAGCCACCAGTCACATAGCATGCCCAACCCCCATTGGCCTGTCATCATTTTGTTTGAGATAGGGGCTCACTCTGTAGCTCTGGCTGGCCTTGAACTCAGAGATTCTCTACCTGTGAGTGCTGCCCATTGGCCTGTCATCATTTTGTTTGAGATAGGGGCTCACTATGTAGCTCTGGCTGGCCTTGAACTCAGAGATTCTCTACCTGTGAGTGCTGGAATCAAAGGTGTGCGCCCTACATCTGGCTTTCTTATCCTCTGGTTCTCTGAGAAGTGTCAAAGTCAGACTCCATGGGGAGTAGATGCTGTCCAGAAAGCGTCCTCCAGCTGTGGGCCCCCTTTGGGAGGTGGAGTGACCAAGCAATTCCAGGGTGGCCCCTGCCATCCCATAAACTAGATCACAGGTCATACTGAGCTGTCAGGAACAGGAGGGTTCTGATAGTTTGGGCTCTACCTTCTCTTGCTTGATGCTTTTCCCATGCAAGACACTCAATTCTTTACAAAACCCAGTGACCAGCCCAGCAGTCTCTTTGAGGGGCCAGAAACCCAGCGTGTCTCCTGCTTTGAGAGGGAGGCAGAGCACCCGCCCAGTGGCCAGAAAGCAGCTCTGTTCTGAACACTGCAGTAGGCTGGATCTCTTGCAGCTGGCTTCCTGCAAACCCTTTTAAGTTTCATTCTCACTTTGCTAGCACAGGAGGCTACAAGAACCCCCCTAAACTCAAGGGGACAATATAGTGGGAAATTACCAATACGAAGTCAGGTAAAAGATTTTTCGTAACAGGACAATGACAAGGTAAAAGGAATTGCATGGTTTGAACTCCCCACCACCATCCAAGAGTGAAGAGAAATGGAGGAGGAGTTGAGTTGAGCCAGCCTTAGCCAACTGCCTGAGCCGCAGGGCAGAGGTATTGAGTGTTCTGAGTGAAGGGTGCCTCCCAGGGCCAGCACCAGACTCCAGCTGTGTCCTGCTACCTGCTGCTTAGGCACAGGCTTGGGCTTTTAGCCTGGGGAAGGGTTAATCTGAAAGCAGCCTGAGAGCACAAAGAGCCGGTTTTGCCTCCTTAACTGCTTGGCATCCCTGCCCATTGGTTGCTACTTTCAGCCCTTCCTCCAAGTATATTTCCAGCCTGGGGATTAATGGTGACTTCTTGCAGTGACCCTGCTTGGTTTCAGACTTGTGTTTTGTTTTTGTGTTTTTAAAGATTTGCTCATTGCCTCCAGTATTACTGCTCAAATGTTGTACAGGAAAGCCTAGGAACAAATGGAAGATCCTACATGGGCACAGAAGTACCCTACTGGGAGGCATTGGTCCCTTCCTCACTCTGGACATGACGCTGGCACACTGCTAACTTCCCTCTTTGGCCTCAGTATTGTCACCTGCCCTGAGGCCCTTTGAGCCCTGCTCTAGAATGTCCACTGGCTAGGAACACTTGGAAGGATGTCTTCAGAGAGCTGGGGATGCCTTTCACTGGTATGCTACAGTGAGCATGCTGGGTTAAAGTCCCCTGTTAGTGGGAAGCTGGGCCCACAGGAGGGCACTGGCCAGGTACTCTGCCTCAGGAAACATTACTCTGTAGCCCCAGAATGTTGGCTAGGGACTGTGTTTCTAGGCCCAGATCCCCACTGTCTCCATGTTCCCATCCCCAGGGGCAGACTCCTGCATGGCCGGCACTTCACCTACAAGAGTATCACAGGTGACATGGCCATCACATTTGTGTCCACGGGAGTGGAAGGCGCCTTTGCCACGGAGGAACATCCCTATGCAGCTCATGGACCCTGGTTACAAGTGAGAAGCATCCTTTTTCCCTTCCTTTTTTTCTGTTGGCTCTTCCCTTACTGCCTGCCCTCCCTCCCAGGACAGCTCTCTATGGCATCCATCCTGAGCTGGGAGCTGCCTCTTGGATTCAGAGCCTGAGCTCTCTGTGTGGTTAAGGAGAAGGGGTGCTGCTGCTGTCTTCACAGCTCCAGAGGCACTTCCTGACCTGCTTCCCATCCCCTGAAGTGAGTTTCTCTCCTGCCATTGGTGGAACCACTAATGACAGAGGAAATCCAAGTGTGAGGAGTAGAACACTTCCCTTACCCTGGGAAATCAAGAGACAAGACATGGAGGGTGAGCGACATGCAGATGCCACCCTCCAGTGACAATATGGAAACCACCAGAATTCATAGGAAACGAACTCTGTGACCAGACCGGGCAGGCCACGGTGGCCAGAGCTCCCTCGAGAGCAGTCCGCTGCTCCCTTTTGCTCCTGATGGAAACCACTGAGCAGAACCTGCTGGCTTGCCCAGAGCATCATGTCATTGTGTTCTCCTGCTTGGAGCAAGGGTCAGAGCTGATTGTCAAGCACAGTGCTTGGGGTTAAGAGCCACCAGCCCTCTTTCCAGTGCCTACGCTGCCCAGGCCTCTAAGGGTCACTAGCCTGGTCTGCCATACTCCTTTTTTTGACTTTTGGCTGTGTTTTGGAGAAGGGGGAAAGCAATTTACTGACCTTTCATAAGAATATCAAGAAAAGGAATCAAGGCCCGATGTGTTGATGCACACCTTTAATCCCAGAGCACTTGGGAGGCAGAGTCAGGGGGATCTCTATGAATTTGAGGCCAGCCTGCCCTACATACAGTTCCAGGCCAGCTAGGGCTACAAAGTGAGACACTGTGTAAAAAAAGAAAAAAGAAAGAAAGACAGTTGGGGTTGTGGAAAGAGACTCTGACCTCCATCCGAAAGGTAACCAAGCTTTGTTTGTGGTGGGTCAGAGAAAAGCATGGGGGACTTAAGTTAAAAGAAAGAGACTTACATTAGCTCTGTGGGTGACCCAGTCTGGGGTCTGCACTACTATTCCTGTGGGTCTGTTTTGTCTGCTGAGTCTGCTTGCTGCTGATGCCCTCCTCGCTCAGAGCAACCTCCTCCCTGCCCCCCACCCAAAGTCCTAACCCTTAATTAAAACAAACAGCAAACAAAGGATACCAACCACTCTTCTCCCACTAAGCCCAGAGGTAGAAATGGAAGCTAGTGCTTTAGGGATATTGTGTTCCATAAATTATCTCGCCTTTTCCACTGTTGTTATTACATTGTTTCATAACAAAATTACTTTGAACCATAAAGTTATAAATACATTTTAAAAGTCCCACTTGGTAACATTAGATTTCTGTCTGTGCAGTGTTGATAGTTACTGTAGCAAAAGCTCAGAAGTGTAACATTTGAAACGAGCCCAGGACAAGTAGAAACAGTCTCTCATACCCCACTCCCACCCCTAGCCATGCCCCAGGCTGCCACCCCTGTCTCTGCTGACAACCAGAGATGCAGGTCTCTTCCCCCAGACAGAACTAGTGTGGAGGTGGGAGATGGGCACCCCCTCCCGGCAGGTGACCCTAGCCACAGAGAGCCCCCCAGATCATGATTCCAGTGGACGATGTAATACCAGCAGGTCTTGGGTGTCCTGGTAGTTCATGAGTGTTCATTTGCAGTTGAAGCACATTTGAAGAGAATTAGGAACTGGGATCTCCCTTGACTAAAGGAGAATGTCTGCCCTTGTATTCTGTCATCTCACATAGAATATCTTCTAGAACTGAGGGCTGGGGTCGTCACCATCTCTAGTTTCAGCCTACCCAGGAGCCTGGGTCCCCAGAAGACTGGGGATTTCTGGCAGCCCCTCAGTCTTCTGGAAGGAAGCCTCCTGCACCCCACTCAGTTCCCAAGTTCTTAATCCCCTGGCTGCTGGCGTTCCCACTCTTGGCACCTCCACACACACACACACACATGCTGGCAGCCCCTCAGTGATTGGGGCATTCAGCACCCACTGCCTCCCAGCACTTGGGTCCTCTCCTGTGGGCTGTTGCCCAGGGAACCAGGGAACGGTGGGAACGAGTTGCTGGCCTCGGCATGTTTCAATCAAGTTGCTGTGCTGGGAGCTGCTTAATCAAAGGCCTGTTATGGGCTCATTAGTGTGGTCCACCACAGGCCGCCCCTCAGGAGAGCCCTGGGAAGGCTGGCTCAGGTCCCGCCCTCCAGGCATGCACCCTTGATCACCAAGAGGTTTCTCAGGCTCTTTGCAAGGAGCCCTGGGAAACTCTCCATCTGACCTGCCCCAGCCAGCTGTGTTCTCAGCAGTGAAGCCAACACCCACATCAGCTTTCCTCCCCTCCTGAGAGCAGTCAGCGTTTTCTGCTTCTGACTGTTAGCCTGACTTTCCCTTTAGGGTCTTGCCTCTTGTGGCCACAGGCAGTCCCCAGCTTGTGGGAACTAAGCTTGTAATGGCTTGTGGGCCTCTAGATTGCCTCTCAAGGGCCAACTGTCTCCCAAGCAGGACCTGCGGTTCCACTCAGAAGTCACAGATCAAGCCCCACTATGCCAAGAAGGGACCCAGGCCTGTTTGGAGGGAGAGTTCAACACCCAGACCCGTTCCTGCTCTTTACAGGGTTCTGTCACTCACTCAGAGTCTGGGGCGTCTCCTTGAGCCTTGTGTGCCCAAGCCTGTTGCAGGCAGAGGAGCAGGGGGGCAGCTGAAAGCAGTAGGCATTGGATGGAGAGAACCAGACTTCCGCCCTCTGGCTGCTGTGAATCACAGCTGAAGTAGGAGGGGCAGCGAGACTGTCTTGCATCAGCCTTCAGCAGCCCCCGGAAGTGCTCACTCCCAGCCTTGGCACCTTGCTCTGGCTGCCAGCCCAGGTCTGTTATCTCTTAGGGAAAGGCACAGCATCCATTCTTCCTGTTCCGGGAAGCGAGGACCGGAAGGAAAGGGGAAGGTGAGAGAGCCAGAGCCCCTTTTCAGAGCTGGTGGGATGGCCTCAGACAGGCTGTCATACCCACCTCATTCTGGCCTGCCACCTGGTCCCCCACTATCTACCAACTCGGGGGGGGCCCCGGGCCTAGGGAAGTCAGGACTCAGGGCCAGAAGAAGAGGGCAGGTGTAGTTGGAAACTCATACATTAGGAGTTGCTAGAGGCAGGAGTTGGCTCTGGCCCATACTCTAATTTCTAGAGAAGAGACCTGGCTTCATCCATCTTTCCTCATGTCACCCTTAAGGTCATGGAGCCTGTAAGCCAAGTCTAGAGCTTCGTGAGACAGTCTCCAGACCCTGGAGCAGGCCTGCCAATGTCCTCTTCTGCCCCTGGCACCCCCTCACTGGGGGCCGTGGCTTGCTTCTCCCTTGGCCTATTGACCCTGAGCTGTCACTCTTCTGAGCAGAGCCCCGCCCAGAGCTGAGTCAGTTCCTAGCCAGGGCAATCTGAAGGAGGGAAGCTTCAGTCCCAGAGGTCACAGAGAGGGCATATCACCAAACATGAGATTATTTTTTTTAGGCCCTAAAATGCTTTCTCAGCTGTGTGGTGTCTGACAGCTCACCCAGGTGGCGCCCTTGGTCCCAGCCACTCCCTAGCAGCCCAATGGGAGGTCTCTGGCTTGGGAGAAGACACCTCACAGGTGTGCCCAGTGGGGTCTGATGTTCCCAGCCAGGCTGCGAAACCACTGCTAAACTCTCCCCAGCCCAGTAACAGGTTCCCCATATTCCTTCAGCCAAGGCCCTGTGTTGTTGTGTCCCTGTACACCCTTTTGAATGCTATGGAGAAGGCAATCTGGGAGTCAGTCCCCAGCCCAGCCCCTGGCATCCCCTTTCTGATGTCTACCTAGCATTTCTCCCACTGGTGGGCCTGGCTATACCTGCCTCCTTTGGACACTTTGGCTTGGGCTCTCTCAAGACTTCGTCCAGTCCTGGGCTTGTTAAGGTTTAAAGCAAACTCTAATTCCCTGCTGTGTCAACAGCAGGAGTCCAGCTTGCTTCTGGCCACCAGAGCCAACTTCTCACCACCCACCCAGAGCAGGAAATGAGAATGCCCCTGCCGCTCTCAGGCACATGCCTCTACCCCTCCCAGCATGGGAGTGTCCACAGCTCTTTTCTGGCCTTTGTCTGCCTGAGTTGGGGGAAAGGGGAACAGTGGACAGGAGCCCTTGCTAGTCCTTACCTCATGCCATCGTGGGGGCCAGAGCTGCTCCTGGCCCCTACCTCACTGCCATTGTGGGGGCCAGAGCTGCTCCTTGGCAGGCCCTGCCTCTATAAAGAGCACATTTCCTTCCTGGAGAAAAGGAAAGGGAGGGAAAGAAAGCCAAACTTGCTGGGAAGCAGAACAACGTGTCAACACAAGGAGCAAACAAGACCCAAGACAAAGTGTGAATTGTCGTTGTTCTGAGGGGAAGGAAAGGCATTGTCAGCCACTCAGAAATCCGTTGACCACAGACCTTGGAATGAGTGTCAGATTTGAAGCAGTCTAGCCCCTGCCTGCAGTGCAGCTGGGCCTGCCCAGGCCAGGCACTGACAAAAGATCACTTTTCAGGTTCCTTTCTGGAACTTGCTGGAGCCTGGAGAATGGAGAGGTTGTTGACAATCCTTTCTTGCCACCAACAAGCCAGGCTATTCAACTGTACCTCTCATAGCCTGTGATATGAGCCTACTAGAGTGAGACACAAGCTGAGCCTGGCTTCCAAACCCTCTTTCCAGTCGATGGCGCGCTCACAGTCTGTGCAGTAGTGGTAGAGCTGCAGCTACTGTTGGTTTGCCCTGTGCTCAGTCCTCCTCCTCTGGACCTCTTTCCTAGCGCTTGCTCCCACTGAGACCTCCTGGGGTACCTTGCATTGCCTTCTGTATACCATTCCTGCAGGGGGCTGTGCTACCCTGAGTGGTCCAGGGGCCCTTCCTCTCTCATTAAAGGGTCTCCTCCCTCCAAGGACTATTTGTGCATAATCCTCAGTCTTTTGTCCCAGCTCCTCACCCATGCAAGTATAACAGAATTCATTGTGATGATTTGCCATCTTTTGTGGGCTAGAGGAACTGTTCAAATGTGTGGACTCAGTGAGGTATGGGGTCCCATGCCTGATTCCAATGCTCAGGAGGAAGAGGCAGGAGTGTCTCTGTGAGTTTGAGACTAGCTTGGCTTACATAGGAAGTTCCAGGACAGCCAGGACTAAATAGAGAGACCCTGACTCAAAACGTAAAAAAAAAAAAAAAAAAAAAACAGAAGAAGAAGGAGAAAGAGAAAAAAAAGAAGCAGAAGAAGAAAAAGAAGAAGAAGAAGAGAAGAAGAAAAATGGACTCCAGCCAGCAAGATGGCTCAGTGGTGCATAGACTGCTTCCCTTTCCAGTTAGCATGCTTTTTTTGTTTATTTGTTGTTAGCAGCGGTGTATTTGTGATACTAGGGTTCCAGCCCTGTTGCAATGACAACATATATACTCCTGCCTGGGGTTGAGGGTGCTGGTCTTCCAGGCCATTGGTAAAAACTACCATTCCCTCCCCCACCCCCATCAGAAATCAGCCCCCTGAACACGAACACACACACACACACACACACACACACACACACACCCCTCTAGAGTTGGTACAGCTTCCCCAGACAGGAAGAGAGCATGTCCCATCGCCCAGGCAGGTACTGCTCTGAAGCCTAGGAGACTGCCTTCTTCTCGGGACCCAGCCACCTGCATGTGGAGAGCTAGAGTCTCTAGCAAGCCCATCACGGGAGTCAGTGAAGAGACAGCGGAGCAGCACAGCACAGCACAGAGCCTGCATATAAGGCGGCTGGCCACTCCAAGGGGACAGTGAGCTTCAGGAAGTCCAAGCCCTAGACCTGCACAGGCTTTTCCCACAGTAGCATCACAACAGCCAGTCTGTTCCCAGTGAGAGCTCCCAGGAGCTCCTCCATCATAGCTGCCTATCTGCAGTATCCTGTCGATAAGATCTGTTAACATTCTCAGCTCCAGCTCGGATCTGCAGAGAACAGGGCCTGTTTGTTCAGTCCAAGCTTCTAAGGTTTAACTCCCAGAGGAAATTAAATCAGGTGCCTGGAGCTATTACAGTCTGTCATGTTTCTTTGCTGAGAATGTCACCCCTAATATCATGTGGATCTCATGTATAATTTTTCCCCTTTAATTCTTTTAAAACAATGTGGTTTCCAGCAGAAGCCGGCAAATCATCAAATGTGAAAATGAAGGAACAGGATTTGTCCTCGTTTGGGGGTCTTGCCATCCCCTCCCCCACACAGATGGTGCTACACTTGGTGGCAGCCCTGCTAAAAGCCTCCATAACTCACCAGTTCCAGACCTTTGACAGAGGCACTGGCTTAGGACTAGACTGTTGGTGGCCTCACCTTTCCTGTTGTTGAAAACGCCCTTGGGAGTCTCCTTGGGTGGCCCTCCCCTACCCCGCTTTACCCCCTACCCCATTTTACCCCTTGCTATAGTTCTAGATCTATTTACCACCAATCTGGAGAAAGCTCCTCCCTCTGGATTATTTGTGGGTTAGAAATGAACCCAGCCTGGCCAGGACTGGAGTCATTGTCATATAACTGGGTCTGAGGTATGCTTGTGTTTGTGCTAGCATTTACAGAGATGGCAACAAGCCCCGGAAATGCCAAAAATATGAATGTGACTTTATATTACTCAAGCAGACTTGTGATAACCAGTGAAGAAACTTAGCTTGGGGGAGGGGACCCATGGGATAAGAGGTGGAGTGTCAGGCTCCAGGAAGGAAGGCCAGGTGTGACTGGATGTGGCTGAGGACCAGAAAATGCCAGACAGACTGGAGAGAGCCAGCCAACCCCCCCCCCGGGGGGGGGGATCATGGAGGAAGAAAAGGAATGAATACCTTGGGTAGTCACTCCCCTGGATACTGTCTGCTCTCTCCTCTCTGTCCCTGTCTCTCTCCCTCATTCCTGTGTGGTGCTCTTTGGGGAAGGCAAGTCCTCTTCCTCTAGGGAGCTGCTAGTTGGGTGGGAAGAATGAATATATGAGTCAGTGTCCTCCACCTAAGAGACTAAGGCCAAGACATGACATATGGTCTTGCTTTGGCCCCACAGGGCAGGTGCCTCAGTTTCCCCATCTGGAAGGAGACTGAAAGAGATAAGGTGTGAACAGTCAGCATAGTGTCTGGTATGTTAGAGCTTTTCCTTCTCACTTGTCACCACCATGCCATCGACTCCCTTGCCTCCCATCCATCTCGCAAGCCTCTTTGACCTTCCTTCGACACCTCACTTTATGTCACAATTCGGAGGGAGACTCCCACCCTTCCAGGGTCATCAGCTCCCAAGGGAAACTTTATGGGTATTTTCTCAAGTTTTGGATTCCCAGCCTTCTGAAGGGAAGGTTTCCCTGAAAGGAGCCCTTCAGTTGGGCTTGCACCCTGTACTCTTCTTCCTCTCCGCACTGCACAGGGTCTGCCAGAAAAGTGGAGATGCCCTGTGGATGAGGATAGGGAGGATGGAGTAGAGAGGGCCAGAATCTGCAAGAAAAACATGAATGAGCTCAGCCTGGGCTAGCAGGGCTGCCTGAGAGCCATCAGTTGAGAAAGGCTTGACAGAGCTCTGAGTCGCTGTGGATGCTCCTCTTGGCTGAGAACACTTGCTTAGAGCATAAGGATAGTGGTTATCCCAGCCACATAGGCCGACTTGGACATCAAAGCCTGTGCTCACAGGATCCGGATAAAACAGTAGAGTGAGAGGTGGAAGATACCCAAGAAGACAGATCTCAGAAGTCTAGCAGAGTACAGCTGCTGACTGGGGCCTGCAGGGACATCCCTGAGACATGACCCTGTGGCTGGAGAGAGAAGTCTTAAGTCCCATCCCCCGCTGAAGACATAGGCAGGCTCAGATTTTTTTTTTTTTTTTTTTCTTGGTTTTAGCTGCTATCCCCATCTCTGCAGTGGTAGGGATGGAACCCAGGACTTTGCCACTGGAGCACATTAAACCCCAGGCAGGGCTTGTATTCCAGTGTCAAACAGATTCCTTTTGTCTTACACGGTTGGGAGGAGTGGGTGGGAACATCTGAGCCTGATCAGGCAAGGACCTTGGCAATGGCTCTCCCATGGCCTTCAGCTTTCCTGTCCTTCTCCGTTGCCCTGCAACATCTAGGAGGCCAAACAGCCCAAAGAAGTTTCCGCTGCCTTCCAGCTCCCTTTTAAGGCCAGCACTGCCCACCTTCCAGATGTCACCCCTTCCTCACTGCCCTACCCCACCTCTCTGCCCTCTGGGGTGGGAGGCATTGAGTGTGCAATTTTTCGGAAGAATCAAGTACTTCCCTCCATCCTTGGAAACAGTCAATGGGCCATCCCTCCTCCATAGCGAAAAGAAACATCCCTAGCTCGGTAGCCAGCAAAAGGGCTGTATATTTTTTTCAAATAAAAACCTGCCTTTTGCTTTCTTTCCCAGATTCTGTTGACGGAAGAGTTTGTAGAGAAAATGTTGGAAGACTTGGAAGAGCTGACTTCTCCAGAGGAAGTAAGCTTGTTTGGTTTCTCACTCAGAGAGAGGGGTCTTGGGCTTATGGACCTGTGTGTGTGTGTGTGTGTGTGTGTGTGTGTGTGTGTGTGTATGTACGCGTGCGGGCCCATGCACGCATGCTCACACTTCTATGGGACATCTTCTGAAGTGCAGGAATAATGTGGAGAGGAGCCCCTGAGAATGGTGAATGACTTACTTTTCTTCTGTTTCTGAACCAGCCCTGCCCCACCCCCACCCTTGTGAGGACACCCAGCAAACTCTGAATTGCCAGCTCTTGAACCTCATTGAAGAAGCAGCCAGGGCCTTCAGGCTAGAGTTCTCCCCAGCCCCTGCTGTTCCCTGGCAGGTTCTGAACAGAAAGCCCATGTCTGCTGCCAGAGAACATTCCACTGGGGAGTTGTAGTGGGCAGAAGGGGACTCCTGCTCTTGCCTTGGGCCACCCAAGAGCCACACTCCCTTCCTTCTCCAGCTATAGCTTGCCTCTCTCAGCCTCTTCTTGGCTAGCTCAGAGCCTGAGGAACTGGCAGGCCAGGTGGGGTTATGCCTCCCCCCCTTGGCTCCTTCTCTGGGGTACAGGAATGGAGTCCATAATCCCTTTTGTTTTTCTTCCTTGTTCCTGGCCTCCTCATTTGCAGGGACTTACCTCATCCTGGAAAGTCCCTTCTCCTCCTCCTGCCTCCCACTAACCAGCACCCAGCAGCAGACAGGCAAGCCTTACTGGCCCTGGTGCTCCATGGGGTAGTAGAACATTAGCAAGCTTCCCAGGCCTCCAGAGAACCTTCTGGCCCTCCCCAAGCTGCCTGTGGCAGAACCTGGCCCTTCCCTCCCTTTGCCCTAACGTGCTTGAGGTAAAGAGAGCTGCCTTACCTCCTCGGCGCCAGACAGAACTATCCAGGGGCCAGCTCTCCCACAGCCACACAAGCTTTGGACTCGGTAGAGAGAAACTCCTCAGAGCTGGGCACCCCAACAGAGCCATATCTTCCCTGCCCCCCACCCCAGGGATCCAGCTTGATCAATTAATTCATTTATGTATTCCAAGGTTATCAAGCACCCAATCTGTGCCAGCCAGTCACCCCTGCAAGTCACTGCCTCAGAGGCCTGGATCCCACATTCAGTCAGGCCAAAGCCAGCTGCCCAGAAGGGCTTCCGGAGAGGACTTGTCACACTGCGTGGCGTTATGCCAAGCTGCTGCTGCGAGCTTGGGTGCTGAGTGGGCGGGAGGGGACAGTCCAGGCAAAAGACACAGGAGCCAAGGGGAGCTTTGGAAAGTAGGTCACTAAAAATGACTTCTCTTCCTGCTCTCCTGTCCAGAGGCTGTCCCCACACCCGCCCAGTCTCCACTCTGTCCTAGGTCTACAGTCCCCCATGAGAGGGAGGGCACAGGGAGCCAGCCAGGAAACGTCGGTTTGTCCACCTCCAGCCCCACTCCAGGCAGACTGGAACATGACTCTGCCCTCCTCTCCTTGGCCCTGACTTGCAGCCTATCCCCGAGACAGTGGGAGTTAGGAGAGCTCCTGCTCTAACCCCAAGGCAGTGAGAATTTATTGTGCACCAGCTGTGTGCTAAGCTACATGCAAGGTTCTAGCCCCTGGAAGGAATAAGAAGTCAGCTTCTCCCCTCTCCCAAACAGAAGGCCCCAGGAAGGGGAGAGAAATGAAGCTGCAAGGCAGCCATTGGTTTCTGATTTGGAAGACCTTGGCTCTCATCTGGGATCACTCGGAGCAAAGAACCCTGGGAATCAGGGTAAAGGGGGCAGTGGGTAGTGAAGAATGTCTCCTTCCGAGAATGTACATAAACCGCCTTCATCCTGCATGTTATAGCCCAGCAGGGTCACAGTTTGGGGACTGATTTGGAGCTCCTTCCTTGTTGACCCTTTGACAAAGCTATGGAGGACAGGTTCTAGAACCCTTCCCACACTAGCCTCAGGAGAGCCCATGACAATGACAGACCTCCTCCCTGTAATATCTACTCCCTGCTGGGTCCCCTATCTTCCAGCCCCAGGGCCCCAGGGAGCAGATTCCTTGCATGCTTGTGGCTGGAGGCAGAACCAAGGAAAAGAGCAGGAGGGAGGGTCTACACAGTCAGAGAGCTAGAAAAACACGCCTTCTTCCTCCTGGCAGTGCTGGGAGGAAAGAGCACCTGGACGGACACACACACACACACACACACACACACACACACACACACAGATGAGCATGCACATTTGAGAGGTCTCCAAGAGCCTGTCTTATCCCCACCATCCTAGGGGCAGGTCTGGGCCAGAGTGCTGCCTCTCTCTGGGTCTGTCTTAGAAGGCAATGGAGTCTGCCACCCAGGGCACTCAGGCTCTGTGCTTGCTTCCTCCACAGTTCAAACTTCCCAAAGAGTACAGCTGGCCTGAAAAGAAGCTCAAAGTCTCCATCCTCCCTGATGTGGCATTCGACAGTCCGCTGCACTAGCCTGGGCTGGGCCCTGCAGGGGCCAAGAGGGGCTCAGCGGCTCCCAGTGACTTCAGTGTGACAGCTGTGTAAAAGAGACTCCCATGAATAAAAGGACAAGTGTGAGGATGACTGCAAAGTGCTGTGCCCACCACAGGTCCCACCTCACCTCCGGCTCAGGGGCCTCACGCCCAGCTGTCAAACCCATGACCAGGCCCCTGTCCTACACGCCGGTGAGCAAGGGAGGCTGCGCCTCCACCCTCCCACCCACCTGCTGCCGCCACAGGGTTGGTTACCTGATGTGCTCCGCTCCAGGAGACATCCTTGCCATACAGTTGGGTGTGCAGAGCGCACGTGTGGATGCCCTGCCCAGCAAGCCTCTGTGCAGTCAGGCTGCTGCAGCCTGTGGAACGACTGCTCCTGTCACCGATGTCTCTCCTTCCTTAGTATGTTGTGGAAACCGGATGGTATTTTTATTTCTTGGCAATGTATATAGTGGTTTTTAAACAGAACTTTATTCCTAGATGAACTTTATTATTCTCTTAGACAGGGGTCTGGGGGCTCTGCCTCCCCCACACTCTCTGCCCAAGAAGGTGCCTGGTGCTGCCCGTCAGCTCTGAGCCCTGGAGGAGCCTGAGATAGGGAACTGCAGACACACTCTCCATGCAGCCTTGGGTCCAGATATGCTGTGGCCTAGAAGAGGGTGCCAATGCCTTCCAAATGAAACTGGCTTCTACCAGGCTCTGGGGACTTTAGGGTCTCAAGGACATGGTGGTCCCAGCTGTGTCTTCCAGGCCTTTTCTACGCAGCCAGGCCTGCCAAGTAGAGTAAAGCCACTGCCTCCTCACCCTGCTCCTCAGGGCTCCAGCTCTTTGATTTCCCCAGTCCCCCGGATTCCCAGCCCCCTGGGCTGTAGGACTCTAGCTTATTAAAAACTGAGAAATCAACCTCTCAACGTCCCTGTCACTTTAATTCTGCTGACAGTGCTCTCTGTGGCCCTCCATCCTTCCCACCTCTATTTCTTGCCTTTTCCTATAGCTGGCCCTCTGTGGGCCTCGTCCTCTCACCTGCACACTGTCCAGGAAGGAGACAGCCTGTCTCTGGCCAGCTGTGGGGGCTGCTTTCCAGAGATGTCCTACTTCTGACCTGGAAATGGCAAGCCCCTTTCCTCAACTTTTGCCTTCCCCTCTAGGTTTGATGTTTCTTCTTCATTCTTTAAGTTTAGATCTCTCCAAAGGAACAACATTTGTCTGTCAGGGACCTTGCAAGAGCTCCACTACTCTGTCTGCTTCCACCACTTACAGTGGGAACCGCCAGGGTACCCCAGGAGGCCCACAGTGGTCCAGCCAGAGAGCTGCCCCAGGAGCCTCGAGGAACCTGGCTGAGGGCTTGAGAAAGCAGAAGCTAGCCTTTTGAGGAATGACTCATTTGGCCCTTTCCACATATCCTAAATCTAAGTGGTTAATTCCCAGGTCAGCACTTGGGGACAGACCCACCTGGAGCCTCTGAGAGGCTGGCTTGCAACTCCCCACCAGCCAGGATACAAGTCTCTCTGGAACAGACACCATGCTGCCCTGGGACTTTTCCACAAGGATACTTCCAACCCTGCCTTTAAAGAAAGCTCTTGTCTTCTGAAAGTGTGCTGACCAAGAGATGCTCTCAGTTTGCCTCCATTCCTTGCCATCCTGACTGGTGCTGTAGTAGTTCCCCCTCCCCCATTCTCCCTGGAGACCTGCCTAAGGGCCCCCATGCAGCATTTGGCCCTACCTCCATTTGCCTGGCTTGGGGGCAAGAATGCATGCTATGAGCTAGTTTCGTCCTTAGTATGTGAGACTGCTGCTCAACCCCTTGCCCTGGGCCTGCAAGGTCTTTGCAGATTGAGGGTTGCCACCACCTGCTTGGTGGCCCCGTTCTTGTGGAGCAGGGAATGAATGGCAGGCAAGCTCCAAATGAGATGTTGACAGGGTCTGAGGTCTCTCCTGCCCCCATCCTGCCAGGAACCTCAGGAATGTCTAAAATCCTGCTGGGACCAGGCCCCCATCATTCCTTAGTGCAGTGGTTCTCAGCCTACAAGGACCAGGCCTCCTTTCCCATGGGCTCTGGTTTCTTCCAGGGGGATATCAGGGAACAGGTTCCCCGTTAGGCTGCTGCCTGGGAAGGAGGGGCCCTAACATCTGATGGAGCAAGACTTACCACGTCACATGGTGGGTGAGCTGTACAGGGCCCCTTTCTTTCCCTCCCTGAAGCCGTATGGGGCTGTGTCCCATTCCCCACCACCACCTTCTACAGACTTCCTCCAGGCTGTCCCCATCCTTTGACCTTCCAGGTCCTCAGGACGAGACCTCTGCCTTCCTGTTGACTAAATCTTTCCTGGGCCTGTGTGGGTTGCAGAGGGTGGCAATGCCAGCTGCCATGCTGGGGAGCTGTGTTCTCCTCTTCCAAGTGTGACATGCTGCAACAGGTCCTGTGGAGGCCTTGAGGAGCCCGAAGGGGCCAGGACATCTGCGGTCCATACCCTGGGTCCTGGGACTGAGTTTTGAGATGGAGTTGAGAGCAGGGAAAGGCCTTGAAGTTTGTGCCCCTATGGGGTGACCAGCTGATTACTCCCTGAGCTGTATTTTTTTAACTTGGTCTTCCCTCTCTGCCTTCCATGATCTCAGTGCCAGGTGAGGTGTCTGGGTCCCTGTTACAAGTCAGGAGCCCTGTAGGGAGACCTCTTCTTTTGTACAAAGATCTGAATGCTGCAATGAGCAGACTTTTGTACATTTTTATATTAGTTTTTAATGTCAGTGGCGACTCAGTTCCTGGGCCTACAGCTGGCTCAGGACTTTTGTAAGACATTTTGAGTGACTCACTTAGATTTTGTTCCCACTTGCCCTCTTCCTCTGTGAAATCTAAGTGCATTAAACATATCTGCAGAAGTGGCTGGGTTGTGTGCTGCTTTCTGGCATGCTAGTGTGTGTGTGTGTGTGTGTGTGTGTGTGTGTGTGTGTGTGTGTGTGTGTGTGTGTGTGTATACACCCATGGCCTTGCTGGGGTGTGTGCTGTAGTGGGTATGTGTGTGACACCACCAGGGCTTGAAGCCTTATTACATACTAGGCAAAAGCTCTGCCACTGTTATATCCCTAGCCCTCATCTGCTTCTTTCTGGATGCCCTTACTGCATACTAGGCAAATGCTCTGCCACTGTTATATCCCTAGCCCTCATCTGCTTCTTTCTGGATGCCTCAAGTAAAGGAGCAAGAAGATTGGCACCCTGGCAACCACTTGGAAGTAGAATGAGCCTGAGAAGTGATGCTGGAAGTCCAGAGGTGCCAGCATGTGCTAAGCAGTGCTCTGCCACTAAGATTTGCATGCACAGCCTTCCTTTTAGGTTGTGCTTCCCTTAAGGTCAAGGGCAGTTGGGACTCGATCGTAGTCCGCAGCTATGGGTGGGTGATGCCGTCTCTCTGCTGTTTCGCTGCTTCATCCTCTTTGGATTTTGGTTGTTGTAGTGGCTGCTGCTGCTGCTGCTGCTTGAGAGAGGGTCTCCTGGTATAGCCCATCTTCAGAATCCCCATCTTTGGGCTTCAGCCTCCCCACTGCTGGCATTACAAGGGTGGTGCACAACCACACCTCCGACTGTTTTCTCCTGTTCTTCCCACTCTTGTCAATAACACTTTTCCCTTGGTTCCACAGGGGTCTAAAACTGAGAGAAGTGGGCTTTCCCTACTCCTGTTCCGGGAGTCTTCTCCCTTACAGCTAGCCACTCTCACCAGGATCTAAATTCAGCCTCCTCTTCAACAGGCTGGGGCTGCACTTGGCTCTGGAAAATCTCAGAACCAGATGACACAGGCCAGCTCACCCTTCAAGCTAGGTAAAGGGGCAGGATTCCATGCCCTCCTCCCTGGGCTGCCTGATGGCATCTGCATTTTGAGGGCCCCCATATTTCCTCCCCCTCCCCCAAGACAGGGTTGATCTGTATAGCTTTGTAGACGCAGGCTGGCCTGGAACTCACAGAGATCCATCTGCCTCTACCTCCCAAGTGCTGGGATTAAAGGCGTGTGTCACCACCGGTCGGCTGAGGGCTCCCATATCAATAGTCAGTGCTGGGGAAGGAGAGAAAACAGCCTAGGTGTGGCCGCACCAGCATCTACACAGGATTCTGGGAACCTTAAGAAACACCTGAGGCCTTCCACATTGTTTCCCTTACTGCTAGGCCTAGTTTTCTGTCCTAGCAACTGGCAGGGCCTTTCTCCTGATCCTCAGGATGGGCTGGTAGCACTCAAGGGACTCCACCAGGACTAGTGACAGGTCCTGAGCCATCACAAGGCAGAGAGAGGGGTGTCAGCTCCCATAAAGAGGCTCTTAAGCCAGCCCTCTTTCCTCTTTCCTACGAGTCTTAGCTGTCTGGAGACCTTCCCCAAAAGGAAATCAATGTCTGTCTTTCTTTCCCCTGTGACCTCTTCTTGTATTCTGGGAATGGCTGGCCCCGGTGTGAGCAATGGAGTAGGTCTGACCTGAACCCTTGGTCCCTCTGTTGCCCAAGATAAGACAACAAGTAGAAGGATGTCCGAGGTCAGATTGACAGGCCCAGGGTAACCCAGGTCACACCTGTCCCCCTTACCTCACCCTCCTCACTTAACTGACCCAGAAAGCCCAGGCCTCGGTGAAGGAAGGTCTTGCCCCAAAGAATAGAGAGCAGGGAGATCCCGTACTGGTATCTCTGGGAGACAGTGCCAGGCAACTAGAACAACAAGGATTTGTAGAGACCTGGTCTCTAGAGCAGAAACCTCATTCTTAAAGGACTTAAGGAGAAGAGAGACCTGCCATGTGCTCTTTGACGTCTCTTCTAGGAAGACCTGAGCATGACTGTGGGCATCTGTTCTGCCTCCTCTGGGTCCTTGGATGGGGGCTGCTGCTGCTCCAGTATCATGGGACTGAGGAGCCCAAAAGATTTGCCAGACTGTCCCAACCACAAGGGAATGCAAGCTGGAAGTGACTGCCCAGCCTGCTAGGCATTGAGGCAGCTGCAGGCACTGAGAGGGGGGAGGGAATGGGGGGATGAGGTGAGGGTATGATTTGCTGAGCAGAATGAAGGATGGGTTCCCAGCCTGCAGAGGCAGGTCAGGATGTGGTCTGGGAGGGGCAGCCCTTCTGGAGGGCACAGTGAACCTGAGCCAGTCCTCTGGTAACTCGGGAAATGTGGGAGAGGCTAGTGAGTGTTTCTGCACTTGCTGCCAAGCCTGATGACCTGAATTAGAATACCCCAAACCCACATGGTAGAAGGAGAGAGTCGACTCCCCGAACCCTCCTCTCATTGCCACATGGGCATCGTGGCATGTGTGCATGCGCTCACATAAATATTTAGGAGAGACAGTTTTGTCATATAGCTTTGACATGCCTTGAACCCCCAGTGTGTAGGTTAGGTTGGTCTCAAACACAGAGATCCACCTACCTCGGCTTCCTGAATGCTGAACTTAAATGTACCACCATGTCCAGCACACACACACACACACACACACACACACACACACACACACACACAAATATTTAAATCAATAATATTTTTTATGTCTGGGAGAGTTAAGGGCAGACAGGATGGGGAAGGGCCCCTGACAGCTAGCAAATATTCCTAGAGTGATTATAGCTGAGCAACAGGGGATGAAGGAAACTTTGAGGGGGTTATAACTAGGATAGTAGTCTTTTTGAAGCCAGAGGGTTAAGGACATTCCTTGTTTTGGAGGTTTTGCCCACTGCGCTCATACCCACCTCAGTCTCATGAGAAGTCTCGGGGCATGGATCACAAGAGCATATCGGGTGGCACCCTGTAGACAGCAAGGCAGCTGTCCATTGTGGAGGCTCTTTAGTAACATTGTGTGGACAGTAAGAACTAAAAACCAGGCTGAGGAGCTGGCTCAGTGGGTAAGAGCAATTGCTGTGAAAGCATGAAGTCCCCGGCACCCGTGTAAACACCAGCCATGAGTGGGCCCTCACTAGCCAGCTTCAAGCTCAGTGAGAGACCATGTCTCAAACAAACTGTAGTCAGAGTTTCTGTCCCACCAGGGCCCACAGCCGTTTAGTCCGAAATAAACACACAGAGGCTTCTATTAATTATAAACTGTTTGGCCAATGGCTCAGGCTTCTTACTGGCCAGCTCTCTCTCATTAACCCATTTCTATTAAGCTATGTATTGCCACCAGGCTGTGGCTTACCCATGATGCTGAAGCATGCTACTCCTTCTACAGCTACGTGGCATGCCTCTGGAGACTCTCTGTTTTCCTCTTTCCAGCATTCCTAGTCTGGTAACCCATATACTTCCTGCCTGGGTACTGGCCAATCAGCATTTATTCACCAACCAATAAGAGAAACATGTATACACAGCATACAGAAGGAGATCCCCTATCAGAAACAAGAGGCAGAGGCAAGTGGATCTCTGAATTCAAGGCCTGCCTGGACTCCAGAATGAGTTCCAAGATAACCAGGGCTACACAGAGAAACCCTGTCTTGGGGAGAAAAAAAAAAAAAAAGGCAAGTAATAGACATTGGATGTCTTTCTCTGGTCTCTGCACAAAATAATTGTTTTTTCTTGTTATCTTTTTAAACTGGCTCAGTAGGTAAAGGCATTTTCCACCAAGCCTGACAACCTGAGTTTGATTCCCAGCACTCACACGGAGGAAGAAGAGAGTCAACCCCTGCAAGTTGTCCTGTGGCCTTCACATACACACTGTAGCATACGTAGCTGTGTGCAGATTGACATCTAACTTAGGTCATATATACACTCATGCACACATAAGATGAGTAAATAAATGTATTTTTATTATCTTTATATGTAAAATTATGTGAACTTTTTGGTGTGTGTGTGTGTGTGTGTGTGTGTGTGTGTGTGTATGTGTGTGTACTTGGAAGTGTGAGAGGAAA